CTATAGGCGCCGAGCCTGTTTACTGTCTTCATGACGGTAAAGGATTATGTGTAATATTCTAGGGAGTTTAAACTTCATCTTGAACTCTTTGAAAGCCTTTTACATATGTATTTATTTATTTAGACAGAGTTTCACTTTGTCACTCTTGTAGAGTGCCTTGGTGTCATAGCTCACAGCAACCTTAAACTCTTGGGCTCAAGCGATTCTCTTGCCTCAGCCTCCCTGGTAGCTGGGACTACAGGCACCCAACACAATGCTCATCTATTTTTATTTTTTATTTTTTATTTTTTTGTTTAGCAGGCCCGGGCTGAGTTTGAATCTACCAGCTCCGGAGCATGTGACTGGCTTCCTAACCACTGAGCTACAGGTGCCCAGCCCCTTTCACATACTTTAAACAAGAGAATAACATGATTTGGTTTGTATTTAAAAAATCATACTGGTAGTAGACCGTAATGTAGGCCACATACATATTGCTAGATGTTGGAAATGTGAAGATGAGAACTCAGGAGATTACAATCTAGTTAGGAGAGAAGCAAAGGAAACATGATGATGTAGTGGGAGATATTCATGAGTTCAGTGGAAGCAAAGTAGGATCCTTATGTGGGTTTGTGGTCTGGAGTGTATATTGGAGTGTATATATTCTTTTAATTGCTAGTGACTTAGTTCAGTGACTAATCTTCTGTGAGTGGAACTCAAAATAGCTTTTTATTAAATTCATGCCAGAGATCTATAAGATGATTAGGTTATGTTAGCTTTCCGTAGTGTGGGCTTAGTTATAGGTAAGTTTGACAGAATGAGGTACTCATTTTACCCATGAAATAGATTTTTCTTTGTGAATATTGTATATCACTTAGTTTTATATTATATGTATATACCAACTTGTACAACTAAGGAGAATGTAAGGAAGGAATGTTTTTTCTTGTACATGTATAATTTTAATGTCTGTTTTCTTTCCATTAATTTAAAAATTTGTCTGTTCTGACGATGAACTAAGTGATTACTTCCTTTTTTAGGTAAAATGAAGAATGATGAATCTAATAAAGAAAATTCTTCAGAGATGGACTATTTAGAAAATGCCACTGTGATAGACGAGTCTACATTGACACCTGAGCAGAGGCTGGGTTTAAAACAAGCAGAAGAACGCTTAGAAAGAGATCACATCTTTCGACTTGAAAAAGTATACTATGTTGTTTTAGTTATTTGGAGGGAAATGTATGTTTCATAACTTTTCTTTCCCAAGGACAGATGTTTTATTTTATTCATTGGAGAGGTAGCCTTCATCTTTTCTTTTTTTCCCTTTTTCATTCTCCTCCTTTCCTTCTCTTCTTCCTTTCCTTGCTTTGTTTAGCAAGTATGCACATCTGTTTCTGACTTAATTCATTCATCGCAGGGGTAGGCAAACTATGGTCTATGCCCTTGTTCTTGTTTTTGAATATGTTAAAGTATACGTAGCCCCCCTTTTTTGGTAAAGAGTTTTATTGGAATATAGCCATGCTCATTTGTTTACATATTGTCTATGGCTGCTTTCTTCCTACCATGGCAAAGCTGGTAGTTGCCACAAAGACTATGTAGTTTGCAAAGTGTAAAATATATGCTATTTATCAAAGCATATAATATTTACCAGAATATTACTTTGGCCTTTTACAGAAGTTTGCTGACCTCTATTCACTCATCAAATAGATACTGAGTGGTTGGTTATGTGCCAAGTACTGTGGTAGGTACTGGGGATATATTGGTGAAAATGGCATAGTTTCTTCCCATTAGAAGTTAATGGGAGGAACTCTGGTATATTGTTCCTGAGTACTAATTAGTTTCTTAAGCTAGAAATACACATTCCTAGCCATAACAGTAGAAACACTGTTGATGTTAAAGGAAAGAAGGCTGGGTGTGGTGGCTCACATCTATAATCCCAACTCTCTGGGAGGCCGAGGAGGGTGTTGCTTGAGCTCAGTTCAGTTCAAGACCTCCCTGAGCAAGAGCGAGATCCAGTCTCTAAAAATAGCTGGGCATTGTGGTGGGTGCCTGTAGTCCCAGCTACTTGGGAGGCTGAAGCAAGAGAATTACTTGAGCCCGAGAGTTTGAGGTTGCTGTGAGCTGTGATGCCATGGCACTCTAGCAAGGGTGACAAAGAGACTCTGTTTAAAATAAGTAAATAAATAAATAAAATGATATTAAAAGAAAGAATCACAAATCAAACTTTTGACAAATACTTAGAATATTTGCGAATATGAATACAAGGAAATAGGTTATTCTTGAAATTGAAAAAGAAAACAAATGGTGTGATTATGTATAGTCTCAAAAAACGAGACCATAACTACATTGAAGAAGACAATACTGGGTTATTAAGACAGTAGTAGTCATCACATGAAAAGAGAAAGGAATATTGAGGAATAAAAGACCTTTATATAGGAGAATGTTGGGTTATATAGCTAGGCTGATAAGATCCTAATTAAGAGGGAAGTCTTTTTGCAATTTGCTATTTTACTTAATTCTGTCTTAGTCCTGTCACTTTTCCTTCACTAAGCCTGGAATTAGTAGTTACTTCTGGATTGTTCCATTGTCAAGGTAAATATTGATTGCCTTTTATGTACCACGATCTGATGATAAAAAGTTAAATTTGGGCATGCCTCGTATTTTTAAAAACATTCCATTTTTCTAGGAGTTTACTAATTAGAAAAAACATGATGGTCCAGGACCCAGAAACAGCTGTGTGGCTTGTTCTTTTTCACAGGTGCCACCTACTGTAAGGGAGGCACATGAAACCTAGTGATGAACTGCCTTGCCCCTTAGGTCATGGGGATCAAGAAATTCCCTGGAAGCTATAGGGTCCCTCCCAAAGCTTGAGGCACTCAAGTGTTCCACCAGGGGGACCAGAGTCTACCATGGACACAGAAGAACATCTTGGTAGCTGACTCATTTGCACAAACATCAACCAATAACTGGGAGAACGATAACATAGCACTTTAAAGCACCTTCCAACGTGGTCTGGCTGATTGACACTCACAAGTACTAACCACCATCAGATTGAAAAACCTAGGTGCAAAGAAGATCAAAAGGAAGGAGGAATAGAGCAAAGTAAGTAGGGGAAGGCAATAAAGAATAAGAAAACAAACATGAAAAAGAACCCCCCCCCCAAATACTGGTAATCAGAAAAGATCAGCTCCCCCTAGGGATGACAGTATAGCAACCACAGAAGATCCCAAATATAACGAAATTGTGGAAATGACAGAAAGGGAATTCAGACTATGGATGGTAAAAATGTTGAAAGGAGTTGAAGGAAAAGTGGAAAACCAGCAAAAGGAAATCCAAAAACTGACTCAAGAAATTAATGAAAGCCAAGGATCTGTACAAAATTAGCTTAAAGAAATAAAGGCATCAGTTGGGGAGTTTCAAAATGTAGTAGAAAGTTTCAACAACAGATTAAACCTGGGAAGAGAAAGAATCTCAGAGCTTGAAGACAAGGTTCGTAAACTAATCCAGTCATTTAAAGAGGCAGAAAATAAGGCAAGAGAATCACTTAA